ACCCCTCAGAGAATGTCACAGGGAAACACACATATACTATTACTCAATAGATTTCATCTGACGTCAAAAATGACGAACAAATCAGGCAGAAATGGTCATGAAAGATTTTTGTTTGCGCACCAATTGAAAAGCATGCATACAATGTTAATTAAAATAATCTAGGAATGCATGATATATCGGCCACCATATCGGATATGTTTGTTTTTAATGTTATCGTCATCGATAAGAACATTTGGCCGATACATTAAAGCTGATAAATAATGGAGTATTTCCTTCAGCTGAGACACTGTTCAACATGATGGTCATGAATTGCTTTAAATATGATTGAAATCACTTTAAAATGTGCAGTGCAGGTCTGTCATATAAGCTATATATAATATTATAATGAGAATTGAGTGTTCGGTACATGAATTTTAACTTTTCTCAAACAAGGATCTCATAAATTATATAAAAATTTGGATTTAGATAAATCGGCCAACATATCGGTTATCGGCTTTCAAATATAAAGAATTATCGGTTATCGGCATCGCCCATTATATCGATGCATCCCTAAAATATCCCATCTATTCATTCATTAAGACAATTGTGAAAATGTAAAGAAAAATGGAAATGGGTAATTTCAATATGCATTAATATTATTATTTTTAAATGTGCCAAAAATCAGCAACATTTTACCTGCTTTGTAATAATTATGCCAATAAATGAACTGTAATAAATTCACTTTTTTGCATGCAAACGTTTTATAAATCGTTCATAGGATCACTATGGAAACGTTCAGATTTGGACCAATCTTTTATTTGTATTTTATATTTTTCAAGAAAATGTAACAGTATAACAAGGTTTTTTAAGCCTAGTCCACACGTACAGGAACTTAGGCAAGTAAAAGTTATGTGTTAGAGCCAGACCGATATATCGGCTGACCGATATTATCGGCCGATATTAGGCATTTTCCAAACTATCGGTATCGGCAGTTATAATGGCCGATAAATGAATATTTCAAAAATAAAATAAAAATGGACGAAACACGCTTGAACCATGTCATGAGTGTTGGAGTTGTATAGTTTGTCCACCAGAGGGCACTGTACACTCGTACATACATTGCTTGAATAACAATTAAAAGAACATCCCCATCAGTTCTCTTAACTCAAATAAGCATGACAAAATTTGTGACTAATCACTTCCAGTTTAAAATAAATAAATAAAATATCGGCCGATATATCGGAATATCGGATTTTAAAACCCAAAAATATATGTATCGATATCGGCCTTCAAAATCCTTTATCGGTCGGGCTCTATTATGCGTGTCATTTGAATACCTTTTAATCAGCCAATATTTAGTCATTTTGTTGAATGCAGTACCCACAATGCAATGCACTAGACTTGTCCTAGAGTGACCAATGAGCCAGGTGATACAATTTTTCTTGACTCATTCTTTGATCAGACAAAACCGGGTCAATGCAAAACACAGCGTGTTCATTTAACATCCGTATTACAGCACTGCAGAACGCAAGCACAAATCATGGTCATCTTTCCCAGAATCCCGTAACATTCCTTGTCTTTATGAGCTCATAAATGATGTCTAGAGATGGTGGGATGAGATCTCTTCCCATTCGAACACCCACAAGCTCTATAAATAAACCGTACACACACACACACACACACACACACTCGTGGACCCGCGCCAGCCGCCTGTAATTGGTCAATGGTCATTTCCTGAAGAAAAGCAGAAACACATTTCATGCAGATTCCCTCTTGAAATGCACCTCACACCAACACAATCCGCTCGTAACATCTCTTTAAAACCGATCTTGAGCTGCTCATGTCAGCCGGAGGCTCTGGACTCTAGAAAATTGCTTAATTATGTTGCTTATTTATCTTGGGAACGCTCTAGACTCATGGTTTAAAATAGTCATTTTCCACAGACTTTATAAACTTGTCTTTATTAAAGCTATTTTTTATTATTAAAGAGTCCCAATTTTGTTTTGAATTTTGATCTCTCCTAAAATAGTTTTACATGCATCCAAGGTCAAAAACACTTTAATTTTCTCATAATATCCCCTGCCGCATCAGTTCAGCTCTTTCCTCTCAGTGTCTGAAACGCTTCAATCAAGGATTCAGTCTCTCTAAGCTCCGCCTCTCTGAGAGCTGCTCTGCTCTGATTGGTGGCCCAGTGTGCTGTGATTGGCTGACCATTTACAGTGTGTGTGGGAGAAAAAAAACGGCCATTAGCATATCTGAAATACATCAGAAAAGTACCAAATCATAGTAGGACTATCTTTTCTCAGATATGGTACAATGATAATACCTTGTTTTATTTGAATGTACTGGTAGAACTATGGTATTCTAATTTTAATATTTTCTGGCAAAACGAATACATAAATGAAGGAAGAAAGCCAAAATATGAAATGTCACAGATGTATAATTTACTGAGTAATTTTCTGTTTTGTCAAGAGGAAATGACAATTTTCACCCGAGATTTGGAGCCAATTTACAGGGGGGTAAAAATGACTTTATAAAGATGGCAGCATCATTATTTTATTTCTACACAGAGATTGGCTGGTCTATTAATGAAATCTGTTGACTTTATCAATCTTTGTTTCATTATATGCCAACGGTGACCGTTCAAAAATGGGGAAAAAGCACTTCTTGTGTTTTTAAACCTCAAGTTTGCATGCCAGTAACTCCAGAAGTATTAAATATATCTTAATATCCTTTTAGATTCTGGTTCTTATCAAACCTTTCTTTTGGCATCTTCATTTTAAAGGCCCTCGATAGTTCAATCACAGAGATATGGAGATCTCAACATGGCTTCATGAGTAAATTGGTCAATTGTGCACATGTGGGATGTGGGACACTATATATATATACACAGATGATGCTTTTTTTTTTTTTTAAAGAGAAACATCAAATGAACATCAAATGTTCTGATGTTTCTGACTGGCAAGCCGCATAAATATTGTTTTTCCAAAGTTTGCACGCCTGTAACACAAAAAGTATTAAAATACATCCGTCTAAATCATTCTTAATGAACTTTTCATTTAGATCTTCGTTTTTAAAGCCCTATAATGGTTCAATCCCAGAGATATATCAATGCTGTAACATGTAGATCTGCGTATGCACTGTTGATGAACTAAATCCCTTCTTCCGAATATCCCCTAAACTGATTCAGATTTGAATGTGCATCAACTTTACAGTGTACATTTTCAGTGTATTTTCAGTACTCAGAGTGGTAGCCTATTGATTAGATAGAGGAAAATATACATTTCTAGTTTCAACATTATTCTTCAGACATTCCTGTGTAAATGCAATAAGTATTAGCTGTGTGTGCAAACTGCAAAGTGACCCACATTTCGTTTTTGACCATTGAAAATGGGAAAATTCAACAAATTGAGCCACATTGAAACCCCCATATATATGGAAATGAACCAGATGGGCCTTAAAAATATATGGTTTATATATTGCATATATTGAATTTCAAGCTTGGAGCTCTGCCACAATGGAAAGACAAAGAGCTTCTTCTTGAAGATCCATAAATCTCAGCGTTCAGCGTTCAGCTGTTAAACTTCTACTTGGACAAATAACCCCACTAACGCCGTTCCCTTGGGGACTTTTAACCCAGACAAGGTCAAAGTAAAACCCTGACCCCGTCTAAAACAGTGTGAGCTTTGCTGTGCTGGGAAACTGAATGAATGATCAATGAGAGTAAATGGTAGAGACACACCAAATAAACTCTCAGGTGAGGCCAACTGGTTTGTTTTTCAATGATAAAAACCAGACTTATTGATTCACTGTTGCAAACCAGACATCACCATCTGTGTGCATGTTTTACTCTACAAAAGCACAATATGACAGATTTAACAGCAGAGATCTACTACAAAACTTCTATTCAAAACTTTCCATGACTTATCCAGGCATGGGAAACACAACATGTTCCACTATTGTGAGACTTTAAAGCATCCATAACCACAAATAAGCAAACTAAGACCAACACAAGCACAATATAAAACATATATAGGATGCACACATTTCACTAAATCAACACCTCATCATTTGTTAAAGCCCTGTAAGTCCAAACCTGATGAAAGTTCAGGTACCGTAGACAAATATTCTCTGTATCAGAGACACTTTATGCAAAATCTTGAGCGTAATGAAACAAACCCCAAAACAACTTGCATTTAAATTGCTTGTAAATCATTACACTATAGTTCTCTTTCAATTACAATTTTTATATTTCTTTTAGGATATGATTGATCGTAGCTCACTGGCCTGAGCTCATGCCTCAGTTTTTAAGTAAAACTGCTGATTAGAAGATTAAACGATTGAATAAAATGTGTGGTGATAATATAGCATAATGAGAGACAAGCAATTTAAAATCCATCTAAAACCAGGCATCTTAATCTTTCTGGGAAGTTGTTGCCATACTCTGTGTGAACAGTAAGCTTCAATGTGACACTGATTACATTAACTAGCATTTTAAGTGAAAATGAAAAGCCTCTATGGATCAGAATAATGGGGGTTTAAGATAAAGGTTACAGAGAAGGGTTTTACAAAAACCCAGACACTAAAAACAACATTTTCATCTCCAATCGTCAACCATACAGAAACTGATTCTTGATACTGAACCAAATAACGTTATGTGAAACAAGTTAAAAAATAAATACTTAATTTAATCAAGATGTTTACATTAGATTATCATTCAGCCTGACGTTATATCTCCATCTTGATCTCATTCACTAAAACTAGCAGTAATTATAAAAACGAGCATCACTTTTAAACTAAAACGTAATGTTAACTTGTTAAATGTCATTGATAAAAACACGTGTCTACAAACTTCCATCATATTTTCCCCGAAACAAGACACGAGGACAGCAAAAACACTAAACACACACAGAAAGAGCTCCTCACACGGTCTCTAAAAACTAGGAAAAAAACATTATAAACAGCTTTAGCTAGTCCTCGCACCATAAAACACCCTTTAAATGAAGGAAAAAAACACTTACCGACTGAATTCCTATTTATTAAAGACGTTTTCAGTTCATTCGCACTTCGCAGACATTTGTGTATGTATTATTTTCACCGGCTGCAGGTCTGAGATACTCAATATGGTCATTTCATGAGCAGCCCTGCACACTGACTGGCTTCAGTTCATCTGAACTCAAAACCGCAGAAACAGAGGAATGATGATGTGATGTGGGCGTGGCTTAGCGACAGAAAGTTGGTTAGAATGAGTCTAAATAAATGAAAAACATTTTGAAATGTTCACCTTGTTGCTTAAACTCGGTATCTATTAATAATTTCAGTGTTAATATTCAGCTGAATTATTGTTCAGTCTACTCATCAAGCAGAAGCGCCCAACGGTCCGTTACTTTTCATAGCGCTATCGGGATGGACCAATCACATTCGTTGTCGATGACTAACGGATGATTAGTGCTGGAAGAATGAACCAATCACATACGTTGATAATGTGTGTTACTTTTCTCAGCGCTGTCAGTACTGACCAATCATATTCGATGATGACTTTAAGGAGAATCTTTCTATAGATTTGTATTTTAGGTATTTCTACTAAATACAACTTAATTAAACAATTATTAAGACAATAAAATAAAACGGAACTAAAATTAAATCTAACTTAACAAAAACGTAAAACATTTTTTCAGCCGTATATTTTCCTCAAAACAAAGCACGAAGAGAGCATGAACGATTAAAATTTATTTGAAATTCCACCAAAGCCGTTTTTACCTTTTACAAATAAGAAAAGGTTTAATGAGTGATGTGGTATCTTTTACTTTTCTCAGCGCTGCATGAGGATGGACCAATCACAGCAGACTGCCACTACTGAATATTTATATTTATTTAAAATAACTTATATTGGCTTCTATAATGTTTGTTTATATTAATTTAGAGATTGCTGTGGCGGGATACGGTTCGCACATATCATGTGTGATATAAGAGGCTCTGCAAACAAAAATGCCATCCTGAGAATTAAATGTGTAATGTAATGAAGATTTAATCAAAATATTTTTTTAAAACTGAAAGGAAATGTTCTTCGCCCCAAAACTTACGCTTTTATTTGTTTGTTGTTTTGAAAATGAATTAGCCATAAATTAGAACAAAACTTAAACTTGTAAAATTAAACCATAAGAAATGATTTGCAAGACTAATCTTGAGTATATTGCGCCACCTGCAGGTCATATTACATCACAACCTCCTGTTTCTAACACTTGAATGAGAAAAACGAGAAATAAATACACATCCACACACTCAGTCTGTACATAGTTTTATTGAGATTTTGTGAGATTAGCAGTTTAGACATTCCTATAGAATAGATAAAGCATTAAAAAACCTATATACAAATTTGGATTGTGGGGTAATGTATTTCATAATGGTCATGTCAGCTTATTTAAAAAAAAACAATAAAAAAAGAACATTAAAAGAAAAACAAATGTGGATCATGGATACAAAAAACAAAACAAAAAAACAAAAAACAAATAAAGAGCCATATCTTGGATCTCAAAGATATTAAAATATATAACGTATTTCTAAACAGCAATGCGGTGTATACAATAAACCGTCAAAAGGCAGCATTTCTGTGAGACAACAAACTAACTATACTAATCATATTGCAAACTAAAAAGTAAATGGCTCAAAACTGTTGATATCTTTTGTGCGATCATGGTTTGGATTTAAAACTAGCTTTAGTATATGCTATTGCAACATAATCACCCCTGAGTGAAATCCAACAAGCTATTATATATAGCAAAAGACAAGAAATAAGACAAATAAATCGATTTCATATTATTCTGAAAGGTCGCTGGTAATCAAAGTGTTTTCAAACCAAATGCAAACAAACCAAACCGCCTTACCAGCATTTCTCCTAAAAAACAAACACACAGCTTAATCCAAAGAGATAAAATAATAATGAATATACAGATTCATGTGTCGCGTCACACAGTTCAGACGGGTTTGGTTGTGCTGTTGTAGACGAGTTTCTCCGAGTCCACGTAAGTGTGAACGTGTCCGCCGTTAACAGCCACTTGGTGATGTTTGTTTTGACGCTTCTTCCGTCCCTTCATGAGGCAACATGCAATGACAACCAGCAGGATAGCGATGGCGAAGCCCAGGATGACTGCCAACGCAACGACAGCTGCGAACAGATGAGAAGAGACGCGTCAATGCATGCAAAACAATCCACAAATATCTGTTTATTATTTATTTATTTATAATTTATCTTTATGGCAGTATTTTAGTTTATAAAATCAATATTATATATGTTATTTACAATAATTTAACAATTTTTATATAAAAAAAAACAAATCAAATATACACCAATAGTAACAGTAATAATAACATTTACATAGAATGTTTCAATTTAAAATTTGCCAGAAATTCCAATTTTTTTTTTACTTTTGTAAAAATGGCCGTTAATATCTTTTCTAAATATAAAAACATTGTCTAATATAATTTTAAAAAGGACATTCTATTTAAAATATGTTTTACACTCAAGAAAATCTAACATAAATATTATTTCACATAAAGATAATACATATGAAGAGTTCAGATGCAAAACCCTCTAAATGCCATTTGAAATTTTCTTCTTTAATGATGATTTTTATCAAACGTGTATATTTAAGTTCAGTAATTTCACTTAAATAACAATTAATAGGTAATTATCATTGCCATTTAAGTGAAATCACTGAACTTAAATATACAAGTTTGATAAAAATCCTCATTAAAGAAGAAAATTTCAAATGGCATTTAGAGGCTTTTGCATCTGAACTCTTCATATATTTGAGTAGATATGTAATGCAAACTTGCATTATCAAGGTTTTAGAGCAAGAGATATAACTTTATACAGTTAAACAGGACATAATCTGAGACCAACATGAGTCTCAATGTTCATCTTTTACAGAAAAGCATGAATGTTATGCATTTATGCTGAACATTATGAAGTGGCGTTACCTGTATCGCTATTGCTTTCTTGCTTCTTGAACTGTCCAGGTGCGGCAAACGCGTCTGACTCTGAAATAATAATATAAACATGGCATAATGTTTTGCAGGAGAGACAGAAAACAGTGTGTGTTTCCCACGGGATTTGTGTGAGGGAAATGTGGTGCATTTGAAAGTTAAAATCATCAAAAGTCAGTGATCTGATTTGCACCTGAACTTAAATAAGCAGGATTGATGAAATCAGCTTAAAGTGATTACAGGGCAAACTCGAAAATTAGAATATGGTGCAAAAGTTCATTTATTTCAGTAATTCAACTTAAAAGGTGAAACTAATATATTATATAGACTCATTACATGCAAAGTGAGATATTTCAAGCCTTTATTTGTAATTAATCATAATGTCAGAAACCGATTATAATCCCGTTCATGGTAGAGAAAGCTCTGAAGTTATTGAATGAAACAAACACAGCTTTTGTGTCTTTATCATCTTTTCCGCATATATATATATATACAGATACAGATAATTATCACAAAAACTTATTGCATGCTCATTTGCTGTAAATGAGTTTTTATGAATGAATGACTTGCTCAAACTGTTGTCTGGTCTACATAAGCAACATGCAGGTGCGCCCCCTGTTGGCAAACCGCAAATGCTCTGCAATCTACTGCTTTTCCTGCCGTTCCTGGATGTCAACGTTGAATTTACTGTCGAATTTGAATGTGGAAGCGAAATAAAATGGACCAAAAGTTGCCTGTTGAATATTCTGGGTTGTTTTTTTAAACAGTTTGAATATTTTGGAAGTGAAATATGAAAAGAGAAAATGAATTATTGAAGAAAATGTGAATTTGATGATTTGAAAAAAATGATTTGAATTTTGAAATATTCAACCAAAATACAATGTATTAAAATGCAGTTTTTTAATATAATATATTATAAATAAATATATATATAATTTATTATTTATTTTACTATATATATAGTATTTTTAGATATTCAAATTTGTATAGTATTTCAAAAGGTTTTATCTTAACTTTTATGGGTTTATAATTTACTTTTTGGCATTATTTTACTTCTATAACGTTGGAGACGTTTATTTGTTATGAGAGGTTTTAAAATACTTTCGGTTCATTATGAAACTGTGGTTACACCAGAGTCTAGGTCATCAATGGGAAACACTACCAATGCTTAAAATCTACCTCAGTCTTTTTATTTATTTGTTTGTGACAAGCTATAAAAGGATAAAAAGAACGTCTGGGAAATATTAAGTTGCTTTGAAAGAGTTCTGGCTTATACTGACTGTCTAAAACGAGATCAATGTGCAAGATCAAATGTGCAAACAACAATTTCATAATTCAAAAGCTGAATATTCTGATGAAAGATTATAAAGACAAACATGTTTTTCTTTACAATAATATGCACTCACGAGCAATTCAATAATACAATTTTTTTAAAATTAAATGTTTGTGCTGTTTGTGCTGCCTTTGAAATGTGTTGTATTACTGTATTATTGTATTATTTAACAGTGCATGTTGACTTTAAATACTGATTATATGGTGATGATAATACAGTAAAACTCACCAGTGACTGAACCGCACAAGCTCATGCACTCGTCCTCCGTCTTAAAGCGGTTCAAATTCCCATCACACCCGCCGTAGTTAAAGCGGTTACATCTCCGCTTATACGGATCGTAGTACCAGTGGGTGGCGCTGTCGCGACATCTTCCCGTTACCGGCGGCTCCACGCAATGAGCTGCAAGAGTGTTATTTCATGTCAAGGAGGCACTAAAATGCAGTTATGAGTTTAAGATAAAATTACCATCACTAAATATGTTAAAAAGATTACAAACATCACAACAGGAAATTAAATATAAAATCACCTTTGGATGTGTCCACGGGAATTTTCAGCAATCGACTGAACTTATCGTTCACTGAACATAAAGAGAAGAAAAAGTGCATTCAGTCACTAGGGCTGAACGATTAAACACAATTTCCATGTAATCGCATTTCATCCGTTCAAAATAACGAGGAGCGAAGTTTTAGGAAATGTAGTGTAGTAAAAATTATAATATATTGTACAATATATTAAAATTTTCCCAAAGTAAAAATACCCAGACGCTTACTTAATTTACTTAGTTTAAAAAACTTAACAGATTTGACAGATTACAGCGAAATAACAAAATAAAATC